TTACATGTTTTTAAATGATGACGATCTGTTAATTCGCTATATGTACCGTATGGGTTGCGTATTTATTAGATAAATACTTGTTTTCGAAACAAATTTTCCGCTGCAAATAACCCGTACGGCACTAGCGAACACAACAGAAACACTCACGACGAAACTCTTTTTTTTTTTTTAAATAACAACACTTGTTCTTTAAAAAAAATGGTTAGATCATGTAAAATGTTTGTAAATTAGTTATTTTAAATGAAAAAAGATAAAATTAGACCGATAACGAGTTTAATATATTTATAATATATTATATAACGAATTACGGTCTCGTTTAAGTGAATCTTGGTCGAAAAACAACTACAACAACTGTACATTCGTTTTTTCAATACTATAACGAATGGACAATCGTTGTAATTGTTTTTCAGAACAAAACGCATTTCCTTTATGGTTTTTTCGATCGAATTACTTGATTACTCACGTATATTCATGATACGTGTCATTGGAACGATAGTTTGAAGGTGTTGGAACAAAACTCTTTTTTTTTTTTTTTAAATAACAACACTTGTTCTTTATTTTTTTTTAAATGGTTAGATCATGTAAAATGTTTGTGAATTCATAATTTTACATAAAATATGACTCCCTAGAATTAAATTGAGTAACATTTCATTAATCTTAATCAAAAGTAAAAAAAAAAAAATGCCAGGCCGCCGCGGGCGCGACGGGTGTCGCGGGAGCGACACATACGGGGACAGAAATAGTGCTAGGACGTCGCGGGCGCGACTCGTGTCGCGAGCGTGACACTTACGGGGAGAACCGCTGCCAGGAAGTCACGGGCGCGACGCGTGTCGCGAGCGCGACACTTAAGGGGACAGAACCACTCCCAGGACGTTGCGGGCGCGCCAAAGGGTTGCGGGCGCGACACCAATTATTTTTTTATTAATTTTTTTTTAACATGAATAAAAGGTTCCGCGCTTTAATTCCGGGACATTTCAACTTAAAAATGACCAAAATGAGACCCATAACGAGTTTAGCTTCCTCATAATGTGTTATTTGATGAGTGCACGGTCAGTTAAGGTGCATTTGTTACGAAAAACAACAATAACGAATGTACATTCGTGATTTCAATGAAAAAACGAATGTACAGTCGTTATAGTTGTTATTCGTCCAAAACGCGTTTTTGGTATGGTTTTTTTTTTTGTTTTGTTTTTCGAGTTACTTGATAAAGATGTATGTTAATGTTACATGTCATTGGAATGATAGTTTGAAGATTTTAGAGCGTCGAAATAAATGCACCTTAACCGACCGTGAACTAGGCAGAGAACTGGGCATGTTCCTTCTCGGACAGAGAACTTGGCAGGATTTCGCGGCCGCGACGGACGTCGTGCCCACGACAGTGAGGTTTTCTTTTTTTAATTATAACGTTGTACAATCGTGAAGGTCGAGAGCTAGAAGCAAAAAAGAGAGCGAAGGTCGAGAGAGATGTCACGAGAGAGGAGCAGATTGAGAGAATGTGGGCATCGAGGTTTTTTTTTCATTTGGAAGAAGACAGTTAGAACTGAGGGCGAGGTCGACGAAGAAGAAGAAAACGAGCGAGGGCGAAATTGAAGAGGGAAGAAGAAAGTGAAGCAGAAGAAGAAGGACGAAGAAGAAAGCCACAGAGAGGGAGGGAGCCTACGAAAGTGACGAAGACGAAATTGAAGGCAGATTAAATTTTGTGTTAAGGGTATATTGGTAAATGACTATTTAATCTGATTACTTATCCTCCCTATATATTATTCCCGAATGCGCTGAGCCTACGTGGCTGCTTCTGGTGCTTCGAATCCTACTTGGCAAAAAATCATGCTTCGTAATTAGGTTTGGACAAATAATATTGATATTAATAGTTAATAATTTAGGTTTGGACATTTCATAAATATTATTTAGCTAACTTAGGTATTTTGATATCACTTGTACTAATATAACCTTTTATTCCTCTGTAATTTTACATACTGAAGCACTAAGTGACTAATATATACATGACTTTTGATTTGTTTCCTTCAATTAGCTATTGAATTATAAATATTTGTTAAAAGTCGATAACTTCTGTATTTCGTATAGATTTTTCATATATAATATATCAAATTAATCATCTTTTGACGATCTTCGATTTGACATCCATATTGTATATATGAAATAAATAAATTATATTCATATTTATAATAATAAAAAATAATAATATTTATTAAAATTCATTAGAAAAATAAAATTATTTATCAATTGATATATTTATGCTTAATGTAGTTATATGTTGTAAGTTAAAAAATTATTATAATATAACACATGTAAGTTGCACAAATAAAAAGTGTCATACTAAATATATAATAATATATATATTTTTATAAAAGATATTTAAATGTTCAATCACTTTTTCTCATTAATTTTAGATTTAATTTGCCAATTGATCAGAAGTAGAAATTAGTTTATTATAAGAAAGGTGAATTACACCAGGACTTCACTGCCGGCGTATTCCTCTCCTCCATCCCACAGACTACCTCCGTACCTCCCGAGAAGAGCGCCCTCACCGCAAATCCAAAAGCAAAGGCTAGCCCGCCTGAGAAGCCCACCCAAATTAACCAATATCAGAATAAATCGGAAAAGAAAAGGCCAAAGAGATGAGCGGCGGCGGCAGCAGCGGCGCGGCGCAGCAGTCACCTCACTCTCTAGCTTTCAGAGTGATGCGATTGTGCCGTCCAACGGTCCACGTGGACACCTCTCCTCTCAAATTCGATCCCTGCGACCTCCTCTTCGGCGAGGACCTGTTCGACGATCCAATCGCCGCCGGCGGTCTCCCCCGCCTCTTCAGCAGCCAATCGAATCCCTCCTCCGTGGATCCCTCCGATCTTAGCTACCGCAGCAGATTCCTCCTCCAGCACCCTACCGACTCGCTCGGCCTCCCAGGCCTTCTCGTCCTCCCCCAATCATTTGGGTATTTTGCCTGCACACACACGCGCGCGCGCGCTCGCTCACAAATCTCTTTGTTTTTATGAATGTATTTGGAAATGTGCTGATTGATGTTTCTCCTCACTGTGAGGTGATAGATTTTTAGATGAACTGTGTTATTTGGGCAATCATTTTCATTTTTTCTTGAGCTAGGGCGATATATCTTGGGGAGACATTCTGCAGTTACATAAGTATCAACAACAGCTCAAGTTTTGAAGTCCGTGATGTTGTGATTAAGGTAGAATACATGTTCGTTTGTCGGCATACGACATGTAATAATTGCCCTGAGTCGTTTAGATTTGGAAATTTCTTTCGAATGAGCTGAAGTGGAGTTACTGGGAGAATGAATAACATGATTCAATTTATTTTCGTTTGCAACTCAAAAATATGAGAAATTCCATATTTGATTGTTTAGGCTGAAATCCAAACAGAAAGACAAAGGATACTGCTTCTGGATACATCGAAATCACCCGTTGAATCAGTACGTGCCGGGGGGCGATACGATTTTATTGTGGAGCATGATGTGAAAGAACTTGGTGCACACACGTAAGGGAATTCAGAGAAGTGCTTATTTAGTTCACTTGTTCTGTGGCACACTGTACTCTAACTAGTCTAATTGTGGTGGTTTTGTATAGCTTGGTGTGCACTGCACTTTACACTGATGGTGAAAATGAGAGGAAGTATCTCCCACAGTTTTTCAAGTTTGTAGTTTCTAACCCCATCTCAGTACGGACAAAGGTACACTCTATCATAAGATATCCATGCCATGTAATTTGCACGTTCCATGTTTGGATAACCTTAGCTGTTGATTTCAGGGAAGTGATAATAACTCTTTTTTAATGCAGGTTCGCAATGTTAAGGTATGTTGAAGATGGTGAAAGTTTTTTGGTGTGTAAGTGCGTGATCTTCCAAAATATTGCATGTGCATAATGATTTATTATTTTATTGCTACATGATTTGTTAAGAATGAAGATTTTCGAGATATTTTGTCTGATTTTTAGGGTGTTTACTTGTCTATAGTACCGTGTTAGTTTTCCTTATTCTGAAGAGCCCTTGTAGTGGTTTCCATGGACATATAATCAAATTGTATTCAGAAATACAATAATTTGCATTTTATTTGAGCTCTGGCAGATAACCATTTCTTCTCTTCAATATATTCAATTTACTCTCTCAGGACACAACGTTTTTGGAGGCTTGTTTAGAAAATCATACAAAATCTCACCTTTATATGGACCAAGTTGAATTCGAGCCAGCTCAGCATTGGGTTGCAACTGTGCTAAAAGCTCCTGATAATTCCTCTGATCATAACCCATTAGCAAGGTAGTTTAGCAATATTACATACTCAAGAGCTAGTGATAAGATGTTCAATTCTTGAAAATAAAAAAAAAATGATACCAGTGGATCTAGTTTAGTTTGTTGACTTGGTGATTAGCATCATTTTTTATTTTTATATTTTGTATCTTTTGTGTTTGTATTGTTTTTCCAGAGAAAATTTCAAGGAACCCATTCTCATTAGACCCGGGGGAGGAATTTATAATTATCTGTATCAGCTGAAATTTTCGCCACCTGATGGTGCACAAATGAAAATTGAGGGAAGTAAGATTCTAGGTAAATTTCAGATAACATGGCGTACAAATTTGGGTGAACCTGGTCGCCTGCAAACCCAACATATACTTGGTAATGTAAGTTGAACTTTTTCTTTACCTTTATAGTTCAAATCGGAAGATTACCGTAAAATGTAGGCATCTCCAGTACTGTACCTGTCATCTAAAAAATTGCACCATACAAGTCATTTTCTGCTTCTTCACTTCCTTTTATGCTTTCTCAATTTATATTGCTTACTGGTATATTACTGAAAATCAGAAGAGATCCATCTTTGCTAGAATCTTCTTTATAATTGGTGTTTTGTCTAGATTTTCTAATTTTTGTTATGCACCTTTTGCTTATAACTTATTAAATTAGCTTTGATAAAATGGCTCACATGATTAATGGCCATATCGCACTGCAAATTCCATTGCAGCCCATTTCTCGCAAGGAGATTGAATTACATGCAGTGGAGATCCCACCTGTCATTATCGTAGAGAAATCATTTTTGGTAACAACTACTATCCTGACTTGAAAATTCCTTTCTTAGGCCCTTCATTTGATTGTCGTTGTAAAAAATTATGAGATCCAAATGTCAAAAATTACATTTATAAAATCTTCTGCAGTTAAATTTAAATCTTGTGAACACAACCGACCGAGTATTGGGACCCTTTGAGGTATGGTTGTCTGAAAGTGATTCGTTTGACGAAAGGGGTGTGATGGTCAACGGACTTCAAACAAAGGTAAGCTATCTAATATTGTCCATGGAATTAACAATCAATTTCTAAATATAATTTGTTTGTATATTGGTAAACCATAGAGTTAAACATGGTTTTAATTATTAATTTTTTTAGCTGGAGGTTAAGAGCTTGATTGTATTGAATACTCGGCGCAAAGATTGATATTGTGAGAACTTCTCGTTATGGAAGATGACAAATGTTTTACCTATGTTTTTCATGCTACCTTGCAGACTCTTGGAGAGGTGCAAGCATACAACTCGTTGAATTTTCAGCTGGTAAATGTCTTTAATACTCTTTTATCTCGGATTTTGTTACAAGATAAAATGACTGAGTGGCACCGTTACAAGATAAAATGATTGAGTGGCACCGTGTCTAAATACGCAATAGATAATTCTACGTCTAAAGTCTAAACACATTCGTGAATTTGTAAAAGATAGAAGAAAGAAAATTAATCTCAAAATAAGGTTATTTTCCATGCAGAACTTGATTGCTGTTAAGCTTGGGATTCTGAAAATCAGCGGCATTACAGTTTTTGACACAATCGAGAAGAAAACTTACGACTCACTTCTAGAATTGGAGGTAAGTTTGCTTCGCTCTTTTTCACTTTTTTTTTTTATTGGTAAATGTGATTAACTTCACCTTTATAACGATTTAAAAGTTAAAATACGATGAAGACCGAACAAATTGTGATTGTGAAATGATATTCTAATGAAATTGCAACTCATGTATTCAATTAAATTAGCATTCATTTTTTGTTTATATGTATTGATGAGCTCTCTTATTTGTTCAGATATATGTTGACTCGGAGTGAATTGAGATTTATCCACCAGATAATATTATAGTTTGTTGCGTTTTGAAGAGGCTGAAATCCAACACTCCAGAATGTATTTTGAAATATTGTTTGGTAAAAGCTTATAATTGTTTGAAATATTGTTTGGTAAAAGCTTATAATTGTTTTTTGACCCCGCAACCTTTCTTGTATTCATTTGTGGCAGTTTTAGTTTTACATCAAACTTGCTATCAATTGTAGAATTGGTTTTAATTTTTTATTTTTTATTTTTTAAATTATAAAATTACATGTATTATTATTTTCTTATAAATATCAATAAAAATAATAGAGACACTGCTTATAAATTATATACTTCAAAATTGCTTAATATTATAATATTTTCCATATATATAATGTTTTATTTTAAATAACAATAAATTAAAAAAATAGGGAAATGCTAAAGTCTCGGAACCATTCAGTCGGGGTTTGTAACCGTTATTAGATCATCATGTAACTATCAGAAATAGTTGATCTAACGGTTATAAACCTCGACGCAATAGTTCCGTAACGGTCGTAGTATCTTCCTAAAAAATAATGCCGGTCAAACCACCCGGTTCAATGGCCGGCTAATTGGTAATGGTAAACGGTCCAAATGTCTGAACCTTCCCAAAAACTTTCAACTAAAATATATGAAGTCATATTTATCTAGAAGAGAATCTCCCTCATATCTTGTATTTGACCATACAAATAATTATATATTATCCATACTCAGACACTGTAGAAGTAAAACTACGATTCGAAATAATAAACGTGTGAAAATTTTTAATTAACAAAATACCTCATTCCTTGAAATCACAACTAAATACTCCATAAAAAAAATCATATTTATCTACAAGAGGATCCCCCTAATATTCATAAGTAATTTTTAATTAACAAAATACCTCATTCCTTGAAATCACAACTAAATACTCCATAAAAAAAATCATATTTATCTACAAGAGGATCCCCCTAATATTCATAAGTTGACCCTGCACGTAAATAATATCCATACTTTATACTGTAGAAGACTAAAAGTAAAGGAAAATGTTACGCTCCTGTTACGGAATCATTCCGTCGAGATTTGTAACTGTTAAATCTTCATGTAACCGTAAGGTATAGTTGATCTAACGGTTACAAACTCCGACGAAATGATTCCGTTACGGGACCGTAGCCTTCCCAAAATAAAACTATGGTTGGTATAATAAATCGTGTAATAGATTTCAATTACAAAAAAGGTATATATGTTTGAAAAATTTCAAAAGCAAAATACTCATGACCTTGACCCTGCAAATGACTAATATTAAACTCAGTAAACTTTATTTGGGAGGAATATTTGAACCTTTCAACTATAAAAAGCTCCCAAAAACTTACCAACCAATAACCATAGAAAATCAAGAACACATAATTAGAGAGTGAGATTGATGGACTCCACAAATGACTTTGCAATGAATGGTGGTTATGGCAGCCAAAGCTACACGAAGAACTCCTCTTACCAGGTATTCTTTTCTCCTCATTTACCCTTCTTATTGACGCATTAATTCAATCATAATAACCGTGCAGAGAATGATTGTCGAAGGAGCAAAGCTTCTCGTCCGAAAATCCATAAACGAACACATTAACCCGAGAAAAACCACTCTCCCGTTCGGCATTGCCGACTTGGGCTGCTCGATTGGGCCCAACACCTTCCTCGCGGTCCACTCCATCATCGAGTTCGTCAAACTCAAATACGAAGAATCGGACGTTTTTTCCCCCGAGTTCCAAGTCTACTTCAACGACCAAACAACCAACGATTTCAACTCGCTCCTCAAGTCCCTCCCTCTCGATCGGGAATACTACGCGAACGCAACCCCGGGCACGTTCTACGCCCGCCTCTTCCCGAGCGCGTCTCTCCACGTGGCGCATTGCTCGTTTTCCCTCCACTGGCTCTCGCGGGTCCCGGTCGAGATTCTCGACCGGGACTCCACTGCCTACAACAAGGGAAAGACACATTACGTGCGGGCTCGGGAGGAGGTCGTTCGTGCGTACGCGAACCAACATGTCGTGGATTTTAACAAATTTCTAAACGCTAGGGCGCGGGAGATTGTCCCCGGAGGTTTGCTCTTGCTTGTGGTCCCGGCTCGACCGGACGGGTGTCGTCACTCGGAAGCCTTTTTGAACGTCGTGTTTGATGCTCTCGGAGGTTGCCTAGTCGACCTCGCGAGGAAGGTACTAATTGTATTTTGAAGTATTAGTATTAGTAAATAGTAAATAGCTTCTTTTTTTTTTTTTTGGTACAAAGTAAATAGCTTCTTTAATTTTTTACTAGTTGTTACCCATGCATTTGCATGGAAAACTATATGATAAGAAATAAAATAATACAAAATATAAACAATAGTAAAAATTATAACATAATCATTTAAAAAAAGTTTTAAGAAAAAAAAATTCAAATATAATTAAACACTTCTTTATATACAACGTCCATAATTTTCGAAGCCCAATCTGATTTATTGATGTAGCCCAATAAAAAAATTTAGTAAGAGAATATTTTAAATAAGCCACAACCCATTATATTTCTTATAACTTAAGCTCAAACATTCACATCCCATTATTTTATTAACAAAGTCTAGACAAAATCAAACAATAAATTATTTTTCGGGCCACAAATAGGTCAAATGAAGTTGATTTCTTTTGGACCCATATAGCATGGTCAAAGCTTTATCCACCACACAAATGTAGAACATTCAACAAAGTGGTAGAGACATGTATTTAATGCCTAAAACCCTACCACCTGCAATATTTTCATCGTTTTTTCTTCACTTTTAATCTTT